AAGCGAAACTTCAGCGGGAAATCGAGCGGATTGCTGAAGATGGGCGGCGGCGTCGACGCGAGGCAACGGATAAGATGAAGCGTGATCTGGAAGAAGAGCAGCGAAAATTACAAGCTGAAGAGGAGGAAGCACGTAAAGCCGCAGATCGGAGCAGTCAGCGTGTGGACAGATCACGAGATGGCGGTACGAATGTCCCCGAGCTGGAACGCTCCGTCAAAGTGCGCTGGGTTCGAGAAGGGCAGGGTGCGGATTGGGATGCCGAGTCGCTAAAGTCTCTCTGTGCGCCATTTGGAGCCATAGACGGTGCATTCGTGATGAAGGATAAACGGGCTCGGGTGGAAGGGAAGAAGGGCAAAGTGACATATGGTCTGGGTGTGGTCGTCTTCAAGTCGATTGTCAGTACGCAAGCAGCTGTGTTGGACGGCGAAAAGAAAATCATGCGAAAGGAAGGCGATTGGGCTCTGGTGGACTCAGTCACGTATTCCTCGGGAGCGGCCCCAGATCTTGGGTTCAGCACTGCTGGTCAACCTGAGGAGTCCACAGCCAAGACGACCACAGATGCGACAAACGAACCCTCCAGAATATCAGCCAAGCCGGCTTTCAGCTTCGCCGGTCTCAAGCCTGGAGCCCCGTTCTCTGGAAAGGCGCCTTCGTTTGAATCATTTCCAACTGCTGGTGGCAATGCTCCCAAGGCCTCGTCCTTCAATCCATCTGCGGCGTCGTCGACCCCAAGTCTGCAAGAGATCACGATGATGCGACTCAAAAACGCCCAGCGAGAGAAAGAACGCAAGGCGCTCGAGGAGCAGCTTGTCCGTGAGGACGAGGCCGCTGATGCGGCAGAAGAAGCAAAATCTGCTGGGGTGTAATCAACGCCTATATGCATCATGCACAACTCACTATTCCCTGGATCGGTATCCCAGAACGCCAATGCTGCCCTTTGTTTTCGATATTGTTGACGTTTCTTTTTTTTTCTTTTTTACTTGCAAAAGAGATACCCTGGCTACTCGCAATGCCTTGTTTTATGTGGATAGAAGTACATTAGACTATATACACGGCATGATGTCTGTTTTTACAGTAATTTCATCTCCCGGCCGATCATGCTCACTCTCGCCGCTGTGCTTCATCTTCCTCTCCCAGCTGCTCTACAAGGGTTCGAGCTCGTTCGCCCTCAACGTCGCCTGAACGCGCGGACGTCTTCTTGGCGCCGCCAGCGAGAATGAATTCTCGGATCCATGATGGCACAAAGGCCTGTAATTTGACTTCGGAGGGCTGTTCTGACTCGCTTGTCCATGAGACTTTGAACTCTTTGTCGGGAGAATACTGTGACCCTTCGCTAGTAAGCGCAATATCCGTCATCATTTCCAAGCGGCACAGCGCAAGGCCGATGTTGCCGACGCCGTTCAAGAATTTGCCAGCACTGCGGCCTCGACGACCATCCGCCTTGTTGATGTTGGAGCCCGGAGCTGGCACAGGAATCTGTGCCGACGGGTCATATATCGGACTTGTCGCCGAGGGGGCCTCTCCGGTGTAGAGTTGGACTGGAAGGATACGCTTCCGCACCACACCCGTGTGATGCGTGCGAATGGTCAATTCCTGGCCGACGTAGCAGCCCTTTCGAAAGTCGATTGCACGGCCCAGATCCATGTTAGACTCTAGCGGCAGGGCTGTTTCACGAATGATCTCGCTCTGCCCTTCTGCTATGCCATGGAGCATTCGCCGCACTGTGTATGAATCCAACTCTACCTCAGATCCGGCAAGTTGTGATTCGTCGGGCAAGTGACTGCGCAGATCGTCGGGGCCAGGAGTTACGAGACGAGAGCCGAATCCGGGAGCTCGCGAGTCGATGCACCCGACCACATCTGGCGATGATGAGAACGGGGAGGCAGTGTCCGCTTCAAGATTGTAAGCCGCCCAGCGTGGTTCGCAGTGATTCCTCCATGAGGACCACACAGTCCGCTCGTCGATTTCAAGCGCGCGCAACTTGAGTTTAGCTCGAAGCTTGTGCTTTTTCAAATGCTTCAGCAAGGTGGGCAGCTCGTTTCGGTCCACTTCGACTAGCCATTCGCGTTCAGTCTGATCTCCGTTCGAGTTCGGGAGCGGGTAGATAAAGACATCGTTCAATATGCGGCCTTGCGAATTCAGAAATGCAGCATATGTCCCAGTATTGCGGACTCTCTTTTTTGGATCATTGGCGATCAGCATGTTCTGGGTGATCAGTCCTTGGAGGTAGGTTGTGCTGTCGACTCCGGTGATGGAGATGAGTCCTCGGTTTGTGAGCCGGGTGTAGCCGACATCTGGTGGAAGAGGTGCATTGTGAAACTGGTCTGATCTTCGGACGCTTGTCGAGAGGAGTCTTCTGTGGGCTAGACAGCGGCTACAGATCGATGAAGGGGGTTTGATCATCATGGCGAAGACGACTGGGCTTGAAAATGTGTCACTCGCTCGGCATCTCTCCGACGAGACCGAGTATGAAATGACGTTAGGCGGGGAATGTCGGCAAAATAAGGCAGCTTCCGCGCGCTAGGTGGAACAGCAAACGGCAAACGCGAGCCTTCTCGAAGCAGTATCTCCAGAGCAATATGGTTATGTCGTTTCTTCCCCACCGCTGACTTTACTTACTATCGAATTAAAAGAAGCTGTGAGTAGCTCGATAGGTGATGTCCTTCAACGAGTGGGTCTACACGTTTAGCAATCCTTTTGTGAGAAAGGTGCTTTGTCGCAACCTGTAGACTCTTGCGTGTCTGCTCTCCATTGTTGCCCCACCTGTAAGTATATGTCTCCACTGGACAAGAGACGTTAGAACTTACCTTATGCACCTACCTTCAAATGCCCTGGGTTGTCGGTGTGGATGGCCGGCGCGCGCGGTTGAAATTAAATGGATTCAGGATGAGACCACGCCCTTACAGGTAAAATATATTCAAATACAAACCTTATCCTCACCATTACGAATCCCAGCTCATCCGGTTGCCATGCTACATGGTATATACTATATACTATATACTATATAGTAAATATATCGCCCGAAACCTCACGCCCTCTCAAAGGTCAATATAATTAGAAGGGTGTTTTTTTGTGGATTGGTCAGGTATGCGCTAAATGGACTGTCAAGAAATATGCAACGTCTGCCGGACGATCGTTGTGACAACGCAGAGACCGATGGCAACTGCCAACAACATGGACTGATTAGTAGATTGAATCAGCTGAGGTAAATTTCAATCCTGATGCACAGGAACCTCGGTACCGAAATGATCTTAGATCAAACAGGAGGCGTTAACCCAAACCGGGAAGCCTTCAGGGCAATGACTGCATGGGACTTTCAGAAGGCATCCGAGGAGCCTGCGAGCCTTGCGCTATCCGACTGACGGACCTGAGATCAGCCTGAATATCGAGCTGTCTTTTCCGTTTCTTCACCCTCATCAAATCCGTCTGCGGAGGCGTTGGCACATGATTGTGTTCACCATTCCGGATTCTCAACTCCCAATACACCAAAGGGACAGTATCTGGCAAGGGTGGAAGCTCTGGTCTGTTTGGGGGTAGTGGTGGTGGTCCGGTCCGCTTTCTCAACTGAAGCGCAAACTTGCAATTAGTTCCTTTTGTTTTCCGGGACCGGGCATGCTCCGGATCAGGCCAACAAGAGCAGACGAAGTCGGATTTCATGGTGTCAGATCTCTTGACGGTTAGGCTGTACCCGTGGCGCGCAGCAAATGCATTAACAGCTTGGTGTCCAGCTTCGCGCGACACATAAATGGCTGGTGGCGGTGCGGGAGGTGGCCCGGGACGCAATGCTGGGGGCGCAGCGTCGCTTTCACCCTTTTCTTCTCCATCGTCCTCCACATCACGTGCCTCTGTGTTATTCGAGGGGAGTGGCGGACTAGGGGAAGATTGCAGCGGTCCCGTAGAAGTAGGAACGGTGCCTTGCATAGACTTAGAAACGGCATTTTCCATGGTTTCAGTGCCATTGCCATGCGTAAGCATAGCCGCCAGCAAATGACCGTGAGCCATCTCGGGAGCGACTGCTGGCGAGTGCGCAGGAGGCATGACGTGCCGCGAACGTCCATGATTGTGAGTACCGTTCGCAATCCTCAGACTCCAAACGCAGGGCAGCATAGTCCCCTCGGGGACAAGGTGCTGTGCCTCTGGCTCTTTCAATCGCTTTCGCAGCTGGAGCCGAAAGGGACAGCCGTTGGCCATCTTACTTCGATCCCCATTTTCTCTCGTCGCGGATTCCGTTGCTTTGGACTTGGGCTCGAGCCAGCGTGCGCAGAGAATGTCAACCTTGACCTGGTCTGAGCGTCTGACAGTCAGGACATATCCATGGTGGGCGGCGAAAGCCTTAACATCCCGCTGGGCATCTTCGCGAGTATCATACAGTCGAACGGGAGGCGCTGGGGGTGAAGGCTCGCAATCGGCTGCGATGTCGAGAATTTCCTCTTCCACCCCCGGATCGCAATGTGGAATAGAACGAACGACTTCAAGAATGCGATCTACCACTTGCTTGCTGTAGAACTGTGGGAGTGGGGCCTCCTCGGCGGGATTCGAGGTTGTCGTCATTCCCGCTCGTTTAGTGCCGGACAGCGTCGGGGGAGGGGGGGTGTTGGGGTGTTCGGGATGAGGTTCGGGAGGGCGTTGAAGGAGGCATTTAAGCGGGTGACCTGACGGAAGAGCGCGGGTTGCGAAACCTGAAGGGCAGTCCAGACACCCCTTGCTATCCGCGTATCTTCACCGCCACGGCTTCCAGAGGTCCTTCGACTCTGGGTGCGCTTCAGCAACACCTGGTGTCAGATATCTAAACAGCACGATTATGGAAGGCTTCGTGTGACACAACAGGATACGTATTGGAGATAAATACGAATATGCATGTATTTTACGTGATATTCAACTACTACATAATAGAGAGTCCGGTATAGGGTGATACAGTGGCTGGGTGTAAGGGCCTGCGATCTCGGGCTGATTATGATCCTCCACAATATTGCCAAATTTGTAGCTTAGTCGTATCGCAAGACGATCTGGCCGAGTGGTCTAAGGCGCTTGACTAGAAACCTGAATATTCAGGCCTGAAATCAAGTCTCTTCGGAGGCGGCGGTTCGAATCCGCCGGTCGTCGATTATTTTTGCCTTTTTTCCTCCTCAAGTGGCAAAACACTCACAGCTTCATAGTGTCAAAATTCCCGGACTTATCACATCACATGACAGTTTGGCCGAGTGGTCTAAGGCGCTTGACTAGAAACCTGAACAATCAGGCTTGAAATCAAGTCTCTTCGGAGGCGGCGGTTCAAATCCGCCAGCTGTCGATCTTTGCTTTTGTTCATCCATCATTCAGGCAGGTAATCTATCTATGGAGCTGTTGCCAATGAATGATGAACAGATGAATTTTTGCTGTTGCCCCGTCTGTGTCAATCTACTTAGGCGATCGATGGCTTCTATCGTGAGTCCCAGGACCAGAGATGATTTCTTCTTTGGCGTTCGCGTTCAAGTAAAGTACGAATTCTTCTCCTCTTCGGTATGTATGTATGTGAAGTGTGAACCATCCGCACCGGTAATTTGTGACGACGATAGACTGACTGACCTCAATCGCCAGCAGTAGGGGTGCAGTTCACACAACGGTACAGTCTGGATACGAAGGTGACCGAAATTGGAAGGGCATTGACGGATGCCAAAGGTGCACGCTGGCCTAGCCCTGGCCTGTATGAGCATAAGCAGCCATGCCGAATGACAATCCCAAATCAATGTCAGCACTACAGTCAGTCCTACAGGTTCAGAGGCAAATATGCAATATAAATGATTTTTGGCATGTATTCAATTTGCCAAGTCATCCGGCCACGCCGATGACACAGACCGGTGTGGCCAGTAACCAAGTAAACATAGAACTATGTACTTCAATGCTTGCTGGTCTCCTTAGCGAGACCAGGCATTGAAAAGGACAGCGCAAGCCTTCCTGGCCAAGGATCGCCTGCTCTATTTGGTGACGCCTTGCAAATAGCTGAGCAAGAATGCCTTGTTGCTGGGTGAAGAGACCCGGTTACCGGAGGTTGAGGGCTCTTCGATGCCCAGAGGAGTCCCATGACGGGAGATTGACCCACCGCTGCCAGCGAGGTGCATTGATGAAAGGGGGCTGACAATGCCCGAGACATTGGCCGGCTGCGAGGGGAAGGATGTAGACTCAAGCTCTACAGCTGACCCCATTGATGGAGACCCATGAGGTTTACTGAACAAAGACAAGAGTGCCTCCTTTTGCGCGTGGGTCTGGCTTGGACGGCGATCCATGTTCGCCGGTGGCACTAGCCCAGCCGAGTCTTGTGCAACGCCCAGACTTGACCTGCGATCTATGTTATTCGCATAGGGGGCGGCTGACGACACACCGTGGAACCCATTCTTGTCAGAACGACGCAAAATCTGGGGCTGGAAAGGCTTCGGAGGTGCTGGAGCCGATGGCTGCATCGTCTGAGGAAGCAAAGGCTGGCCTGTTGAGACTGTTGAAACAGTAGCCGCTGGAGTTGAGTTGTCCCGCTTGTCGCTCTGAGGCCTTGGCAAGATAGTGATTGGAGAGGAAAGCTGTGCCGAGGCGCGGTGTTGATCACGACGACTGGAACCGCTCCTGCGCGTGGAGCCTCCATTTGGCGATCTCTTTGACCCTGATCGGGAAGACTTCTCCGATTGCGGGTTGCCCGAACCTGCATGAGGGTTCACGGATGCTTGGACGACGTTCGTGGATGGCCCTGATCTCACACTTCCCCAAGGCTGTCGATTGTCTGGCTGCGCCGACGGCCGTTGCATAATTTGCATTTGCGATGGTGGCGCGGTCTTGACTGAGTGGCCAGACAATTCTGCAGGCTGAGGTGCCAAAGTATTCCTTGCACCCTTAAAGAGATTTAACAGCCCGTCTTGATGAAGGGAAGTCTTACGCTCCTGCGTAGCATGTGAGACAGTTGCTGGTCCAGACGTGTCCGCGGACCCGCCAGCTGGGAATGACGCTTGAGGAGTTTTGCTGCCATCCTTGAAGAACCCGAGAAGTGCAAGCGAATGGCTTGTAAGCTTAGGCGGGGGAAGTTCACTAGCTGGTGGCACGGCTGCACCAGGGCCACGAGAGGGCTTTGTTTTTTCAGAAAATTGAGGATCGCCTGTTCTTTGGAATGGGGCCACGGCAGGCCTTGAAGGCGCAGCGGTGGGTTGTTGTAAGGGTTGTTCATGGCGCGAAGGCATGCTCGAATACGCAGGCGACCCGAAACCTTGAGACAACCCGGACACAGGCGGGAATTGGTGCTGAATAACATGCGACTGGACCTGATTAGGCGATGATTGGTATTCTGGGAGATGTTGTCCACCTGTCCGCTGCATAAAACCTGAAGGCGCCACATGTTGCTGCTGTTGAGGAAAGCCAGGGAAAAAATTGGTCGCAAAGCGCGGATCTTGATTTAGAGAAGAATTGACCTCGCCAGGAGCTTTGGGAAGTCCGTGTTCGTGTACATTTGGAGCAGGAGAGCGCTGGGTGCCTGTCCGAAGGAGAGCTAGGAGCGCATCTGCCTTGTTCTGATCAACAGCGCTAGCGGGCAAAGCTGAAGTTGACGTTTGCGCTAGAAGTGTCTCGGGTTGTGCTTCAGCGATCTTGAGCAGCTGCTTTATGTGGGCAGAGGCATCTGGGGTAGACGTTGCCGTGCCGACTCCTGGGAGATTGCCCATAGCGCTGCCATGGGTCCCGATTCCGGCGTTGTTGGTGCTCTCGTCCATTGATGCGTATTCCCCGGCGTGCACAGTGGACTTGACGCCTGACTGATCCTTGGCTGCAAGTCTCTTCTGTTGAGCGATCCATTTCTTCAGGGGATGCAGGAAAGGCGCCACCATGTAGAACTTATTGGCATTTGCGACAGCCATGCCCTCGTCCAGGTGTTTGTTCTTTCTCAGCGTTGGCAGCTCCGAAAGCTTGTACCATTCGATCTTGCTGATTTCTTTGCGAGTACGAGGTTCAAAATGCGTATCGCGAGGGACACCTGGAAAGACGAAGAGTCGCATGTGCTGCTCCCGCATGGTGACTTCAATGGACTTGACCGAATCTTCTGACTTGATCAAGTTGGCTGCACGAACGTCGAAGCCAGTCTCTTCGTAGACCTCACGGATTGCGCAGTCCAGGTCTGGCTCGCCCTTGTTGATCTTGCCTCGTGGGAAGCTCCAGTTCGCACCCTTTTTCCAGCCCTTCACCAGGACAACAGAGTCCATCTCTTCGTTCAGGAGAATTGCGCCACGCACAGGGACTCTGGTCTTGTAGGCCAGAAACTCAGAGAATGCGGCCATGTGATGGTAGCGCGACCATTGCGACATGAGTGGACAGTGTTGAAAGATACGAAGACTGAAGGCTTTGAGAGAGAGTGAGGGTAACGCTGGATCGAGGGGCCGAATGAAATCCTCATAAAACCATTGCGCTTCTTCGACTTGGAAACAGATTCGTTCCACAGATTCAAGCTCTTCGTGGGGTAAGTTGATGATGAAGCGCACACATAAATCATCCAGCCCTGAATCAAGTCGAAACGATAAGTGATTAGAACGGCTCAACTGTAACAAGTATCAGGTAAGGTATGAGGGACCCACAATCTTCTAGTTGCATCTTTGAATCGGTCATGATGGGCAACGAAGCTTCGCATTTCCACGCGGACAACCAAAACAAGACGCTTGTTGAAGCCGCAAGACGCGACAGGGTTCGGTTCGGAGAGGGGGGCTTGCAGAATAAGCGCCGCGCTCCGGATAGCTTGAGATAATGAAGAAGAGTTGTGGATAGATGCACGTAATTCGCAAGGGGTGGAGATGACAAGGAAACCCAATCGAAATAGGTGAAGAAAGTGAGGTTCAGCCAAGCTCAGGCGCAAGACGATACAGCGGAGCTGCCCAAATGCAGCCGGGCTCAGGCGGTCGAGAAGGTGGTGACGATCAGCTGTCTCAGGCAGAAAAGCGCTCGGGCCAGCGTTGACGACAAGTCAGGATCTCGTTGATAAGAATAATATCGATAAAGACTCGACTACGTCCAGCGGGGTTTTGGGTGGAAGACGGGCTGGGAAGATGGTCGCAGGGGGAAGTGTGGCGTCGCCACACCGTGGCGCTGTGGCTTGATATGCGCCACACAAGATCGGCGGCAGGTGTTCAGGCTTGGAAGAGTTGGCCCAATTGAGTGGGCTGCGGAATGACGTTATGCCAGAGCAGCCAGACTGCCAGCAAACAAAGCGGCTGGGCTGGCCTTCGACCTCCTTGACGCAGCTGTTTTAAATTTCAGGCTCTATCCCTTAAAAATTATCGGACACCTCTAAGAAGTTACGTTTGGTTAAATTTTTTTTTCTCACTCTCGCAACCTCTGGTTGGTTATTACGATCTGCTCGCCCTTGATACCCAGTTGGTGGCAGACCTCCCCGTACGGCAAAACCAGGAGCTGTACTAGACCGCGCAGAATTGCAGTACTGGTGTTTTCGAATAGCAGGACACAATGTCTGGCTTGCTCTGGTCTGTCGTGGGCAAGAGGGTTCTCGCCGAGTCTGCGAGAAATCACTTTGGTACTGAGGTACGTTTGAATGTATTATACTTTATCTGTCCAAGGGACGCCCATGCGAGCAAATCGAACTGATGATGTTTGGCGCCTTCACAGGACCCTTATTTTGAAGAAGTCCCAGCTTCGCGCCTTGGCCAAGCTTTGGGCAAGAAAACCCAGAAGCGTCGCAAGGCGATACCTCCTGGCTTATCGGAGAAAGATGGCAAGATCCTCACTCAAGTCAAGCGGCGAGCGTATCGACTCGATTATGCTTTGTTTAACCTATGCGGAATACAATTTGGGTGGGGCAGTGTGATTGGTCTCGTTCCCTTGTGAGTGTATCCTGGAACCCGAAATCAGGTTTGCTGGCTGTCTATGTTCGGATCACACGACACTTTGCTGACAAGAGTACTGGGTTGTTACAGTGTCGGAGACGCCGCAGACGCCGCGCTGGCTTTGATGGTGGTAAAATCATGTGAGGGAATCGATGGTGGTCTTCCGCAGCGCTTGCGTATGATGATGATGATCAATGTGATGATCGACTTTGTTATCGGCCTGGTTCCCTTCATCGGCGATGTGGCAGACGCCGTGTACAAATG